TCTTTCTGTCATCCCTCTAGAGAAACTGCATGCACACACCTTTACACCTCAGTTACCTTTGAGCAGTACCATGGCTTCTCTGTTTAACTTCATTAAATTACAAGTATTCACTAATTCCTATGGGCCCCACCATTGCTAGCAGAGGACAACGGACATCACTATATCAGGAGCTTTAAACATTGCAGGACTCAAGTTGCAATCTCTACTTAAAGGGACCTTTTCTCTTCTAAGGCCATTAGTATTCAACTTGGGGTACTTATATCTATATAGTATACATTTACACAATTGTCTGCATGCCCATTGCAGCGCTGGTGGAGGGAGCTAATAAGTCAACAAGCAATTTCTTCCTCCTCATGGTGCTGGGTTGCAGTTAAGTAGTTGAAGCTTACTACTCATGACTGTATAACCTGTTAAACGTTGCTAATTGATTATTCCTATTTTACCAGTGTTCTGCTTTTATGTGTTAACTGGGGTTGTATATCCTAACCCCATTACTCCTTTAGCCTACTCTTTTGAACAAATCTAATATAGAGGTGTTAATAAGGCTAGATTCACACCTTCGCAGTTTGTGTTTGATCCGTTTTGGTTTTGTTTTCTGTTTTTGCAAATGTGTTTTTGATGCGTTTATGCTCTTTGCGGTTTTTTTCTTGTTGCTAGGCAGATTAAAATGCAAAACACAGCAAAAACACAGCAACAACGCACTACATGCTGTTCTGCAGTGTTTTCCATTGAATTCTATAGAACCCAAAGCACAACGTTTTGCGTGTCATTAAGTCCCTGCCCTTTCCAAAAAAGGCACTGGGTGAAAACGCAGAGATGTGAACCTGTCCCATAGGAAATCATGTTTAATGGACTGTAGTGCGTTTCTGCAAAACGCTGCGGAAAACGCTTAAGTGTGAACATAGGGTAAAGAATTGTGCCTCTTGCATTATTATTATATACTGTTGAAATATGTCTGAACCCAGAGTGTCAGAGGCGTCGGGAGACTTGCAAGGTCAGGGCAACCACTGGGGACAAGCATTATCAAGTGGCCCCTGTGGGGGTAGCGCTACATAGTAAAGAGTTTGAGCTTCTCAAACACTAGAAATGAATGAACATCAGTGAAGCCTTAACCCTAGGCTCACATCAGTGTGGGTGGTGCCGCTGTGGATCCGCACGAAAATCCGTGCAGCTGCACCACCCACACAGAGAAATGCGGACCCGTGGGCCGGTGCCATTAATTCTAATGGCACGCCGCCTGCACTGGAAAACGCAACGCAACTGAGGTACCCGTGGGGCTGCGTTTACGGAAGAAGTGCAGGGTCTTCTTTCCCTGCGTTTCACAGGCACGGGAGTCCATTGAAATGAATGGGCTCTCATGCCTGTTAAACACGCGGCCCGCACGGCCACATATATGTGAATCGGGGGTTAGACTATTTTTTTTAATTAAATGTTCTATGCTTTACACCCCGCTCACACTGGATGCAACTTGGCATGCGAAATGCATGCCTTGCGACTTGAAAATCACGTCAGGTCGCACCCTACTGTCCGCAATTACATCGGTCATATTGGTGCGGTTCCGAGCTTTTCATTAAAAGAAGGTATGCAGGGGTCTAGGTAAGAAGGGTTAAGCTGTTTTTTTTTATTTTTGTGTTCATTCAGAAGGGAGGATTTATTTTTATTTACCATTCTAATCTCTTCTAAACAATGATAAATGCATCTGCAATAAACGCACAAAGCAGATCTAGATCTCTCCCCTGCATACCTTCTTTTAATGAAAAGCTCGGGTAACATTTCGACAAAAACACATATCAGTGTCCATGTTATAAACACAAAACACTACTGTGTACACAGGTGAAGTACAAAGCAAAACGACTGCCTGGGAAGTTACAACTTTGCATTTTCACAATCTAATTTCACAAAGACCCTTCAATCTAAAAAAAGTGTGCGGCTCTATTCTTCTGCAGGGTGCTATACTGCTAACCAAAAGATATATCTTGAAAAATAGAAGAAGTTTTAGGTGGCCTTTAAAATCTATTTCTGACCAGTTTTCTCCTAAGCCTCTCTCCATCCCTGTAAAGAAGTATTTTCAACCCCTAAAATAACCTTTCAATCTCGGAGCAGTCATGCTAATAATTACTATATCTACAGCTTGCAGTACGAAGATTGATGGTCAATGGGGAGAATGATGGTCAATGGGGAGATGATGGTCAATGGGGAGAATGATGGTCAATGGGGAGAATGCTCCTTACACATGTGGTCATAGGCAAAGATCCACCCTTACAAATAGATACATTGTTGCAACCAGTATAAATGTCAAAGCACTGTCAAAGAAATAGCGGAGCTCTCTGCAGGGACACTTTTTGCCGGACTGGCATTCTTCTTCTTCTTCATCCTCTTCTTCCTCTTCTACTTCTTCATCCTCTTCTTCTTCTTCATCTTCTTCTCCTCTTCTTCTTCCTCTTCTTCTTCATCTCGTCTTCTTCTTCTTCTCTTCTTCAGCCTCTTCTTCTTCATCCTCTTCTTCATCCTCTTCTTCCTCTTCTTCTTCTTCTTCATCCTCTTCTTCCTCTTCTTCTTCCTCTTCTTCCTCTTCTTCTTCATCCTCTTATTCCTCTTCTTCTTCATCCTCTTCTTCTTCATCCTCCTATTCTGCTTCTTCACCCTCTTCTTCTTCTTCATCCTTTTCTTCATCCTCTTCTTCTTCCTCTTCTTCTTCTTCATCCTCTTCTTCTTCATCATCCTATTATTCTTCTTCATCCTCTTCTTCCTCTTCTTCCTCTTCTGCTTCTTCATCCTCTTCTTCCTCTTCTTCCTCTTCTTCTTCTTCTTCATCCTCTTCTTCTTCCTCTTCTTCTTCTTCCTCTTCTTCTTCTTCATCCTCTTCTTCTTCTTCATCCTCTTCTTCTTCATCCTCTTCTTCTTCATCCTCTTCTTCTTCATCATCCTCTTCTTCTTCATCATCCTCCTCTTCTTCTTCATCCTCTTCTTCTTCTTCATCCTCTTCTTCATCCTCTTCTTCTTCTTCTTCATCCTCTTCTTCTTCATCCTCTTCTTCTTCCTCTTCTTCTTCATCCTCTTCTTCTGCCTCTTCTTTTCTTCTTCATCCTCTTCTTTTTCTTCTTCATCCTCTTCTCTTCTTCATCATCCTCTTCTTCCTCTTCTTCTTCCTCTTCTTTCTTCTTCATCCTCTTCTTCTTCTTCATCATCCTATTCTTCTTCTTCATCCTTCATTCCTCTTCTTCTTCATCCTCTTCTTCCTCTTCTTCTTCTTCTTCATCCTCTTCTTCTTCCTCTTCTTCTTTTTGTCTTCCTCTTGCTCACTGCTCATGCACAGATTTTTTTTATTGGTAAAAAGATCGACCGATTTGCCCATAATTGCAGCGAAAATCGGCCAATCGGCAAAATTGGCCAATCTTTTTCCAACTTTACCGATAAAAAAATCTGCCAAAATACAGAAAAAACAGCCGAACAAATTAACCCACTAACGATCCGAAAATCGGCCGATTTTCGACCCATCTATGGCCTGCATTAGTGGCAACTTTATTAGGTACACCTTGCTAGTGCCAAGCAAATCTCCCCCACACCATTACACCACCAGTCTGAACGATTGATACAAGGCAGGATGGATCCATGCTTTCATGTTGTTTACGCCAAATCTGACCCTACCATCTGAATGTCTCAGCAACCAGTCTGCCCATTCTCCTCTGACCTCTGACATCAACAAGGCATTTTCATCCGCACAACTCCTGCTCACTGGATATTTTCTCTTTTTTGAACCATTCTCTGGAAACCCTAGAGATGGTTGTGCGTGAAAATCCCAGTAGATCAGCAGTTTTTTGAAATACTCAGACCAGCCCGCCTGGCACCAACAACAATGCCACATTAAAAGGCACTTAAATCCCCTTTCTTCCCCATTCTGATTCTCGGTTTGAACTTCAGCAAGTCATCTTCACCACATCTAGATGCCTAAATACAATGAGTTGCTGTCCATGTGATTGGCTGATTAGCAAATTGTGTTACCAAGCAATTGAACAGGTGTACCGAATAAAGTGGCCAGTGAGTGTAGATATAAATTACTATAGTCACATTGACATTTTTATTTTTTTTTTCAGCTCTGTACACAATGCTGGTGTACTGATCTTTACACAGCAGTGTGCATTATGTCATAAACAATAATACATCCATTTTAAAGATGTGTAAAAAAAAAGTGTCAGCTCATTGCTGCATTACCCTATGTTCACATCTAAGTGTTTTCTTCAGTGTTTTTCAGAAACGCACTACAGTCCATTTAACATTATTTCCTATGGGACACGTTCACATCTCCGTGTTTTCACCCAGTGCGTTTGGAAAGGGTCAGGGACTTTTTTACACGCAAAACGTTGCATTTTTTGTTCTATAGACTTCAATGGAACGCTGCAGAAAAGCATTTAGTGTGTTTTTGCTGCATTTTTTTTTTTGCGGTTTGCGTTTTTAATCTGCTTAGCAACAAGAAAAAAGAAAAAAAAATGCAAAATGCAAAAAAACGCATGTGCTTAAAAAGCAAAACGCAACACAAAAAACACACTGCAGAAATGGATCAAACGCAAACTGCATAGGTGTGAACCAAACCTTACTGATCTTTACACATCTGTGTGCATTGTTCCATAGACAACAATGCATTTGTTATATGGTATCACCCCTACTTTAGTGATTAATAGCAGCACATGACATGTGTGATATATATTAAACTCTACTTAACATTCATGTGTGTCATTTTCTGTCTTCATTATTAATCCAGAACAAAGCCTTTAATTAGCCTGATCATAAAAGTATCCAATGTTGAGATCAAGAGGTTCCTCCAAGAATCACCCTTATCATGAATGGTTGCCAGGATCATAGTAAACACTCCAATCCGTCATTACATAGACAGAGAAAACATTTCGCTCCAATCGTGTATTACCCAAAGTAAACAACTTTAATAAGCCAAATATTGCACTTACAGCAATTAACCACCTTCCACCCGCCCTATAGTACAATGACGGGCGCAAGGTGGTTCTCTCGTTCTGATAGGACGTCATATGACATCCTCCCATTCTCACTGCGCATGCGCGCGCTCAGGGAGCGCTGTGTCCCTCGGACATGTGATCAGCTGTGTCCAATCACAGCTGTTCACATGTAAACACGGAAATGCCGGTTATCGGCATTTCTCTCCTCTCGAGCTGTCACGCTGACAGCTCAAGAGGAGAGCCGGTAATCGGCTTTCCGCGGAGGGGACATGTACACTGATTATCAGGGCACTGATGATCAGTGTGCCCTGATGATCAGTGTGGCCCCAGAAGTGCCACCTGTCAGTGCTCATCAGTGCCACATGCCAGTGCCCATCAGTGCCACATCAATGCCACATATCAGTGCATACCAGTACACATCAATGCCACATATCAGTGCCCATCTGAGCTGCCTTTCAATGTCACCCATCAGTGCCAGTTAGTGCCACCTATCAATGCCAATCAGTGCCACCTATCAGTGCTGCCAATCAGTGCCAGTCAATGTCGCCTATCAGTGCCAGTCAGTGCCGCCTGTCAGTGCCAGTCAGTGCTGCCTAACAGTGCCAGTCAGTGCTGCCTATCAGTGCCGCCTATCAGTGTAATGTATCAGTGCTTCCTTTCAGTGCCCATCAGTGATGCCTGTCAATGGCCATCAGTGCAACCTACCAGTGCCTCCTCATCAGTGCCCTTCAGTGCCACCTATCAGTGTCCATCAGTGCAGCCTATCAGTGCCCATCACTGCAGCCCTCATTAGCGCACATCAGTGAAGGAGAAAAATCACTTACTTACAAAATTGTATAACAAAAACTAAGAAAAAACATTTTTTTTCAAAATTTTCATTGGTAATTAACCGTTTCAATACCGTGCAATTTTACACCTTCCTGTCCAGGCCATTTTTCAGGTTTCAGCGCTCTCACACTTTGAATGACAATTGCGCGGTCATACAACATTGTACCCAAACTAAAATTTTATCATTTTCTTCACACAACTAGAGCTTTCTTTTGGTGGTATTTAATCACCGCTGGGGTTTTTATTTTTTGCTAAATTAACAAAAAAAGACCAAAAATTTTGAAAAAAAAAACACATTTTTCTTTGTTTCTGTTATAAAAGTTTACAAATAAATAATTGTTCTTCATAAATTTAGGCCGAGATGTATTCTGCTACATGTCTTTGGTGAAAATAACCCAAATTAGGATGTATTATTTAGTTTGTAGGAAAGTTATAGAGTTCACAAACTATGGTATAGATCTGAATATTGATCAATCCTGAAGTACTGACGGCCAATCTAATTTCTTGAGGTCCAAGAATGTCAGAATAGTACAGATATCCCCAAATGACCCCTTTTTGCAGAGTAGACCATCTGACGTACTTCATAAGAGGCATGGCGAGTTTTTTGAAGTTGTATTTTTTTGTCATAATTTTTCGGAAAATGAAAAAATTAAAAAAATTATTTTCACTATTTTTTTTTTTACATACTGTCACCAGTGCAGTACAGCATCATCATATAACTGGCATGGCGGTGAACAGGGACACTGACTGGTGACAGTATGAAAAAAAATATATATATATTTTTAATTTTTTTTTATTTTTTTATTATATTTAATTTTTTATTACATTTTTTTTTTCATATTTTACTATGACCAAAGTAGTACAATGTTACCATAGTAACATTGTACTACTTTGGGGAAGTGATCAGTATTTTTTTTTTTTTTTTACACAATTTGCTTATAGCAAAGAATTACTTTGCTATAAGCAAGCATTTACCTGAATGACATCGATTCATTCAGCTTTTTTTTTTTTTTTTTTTTTTTGTGCTTAGCTGTGATTTGGTCACAGCTAATCACATGACATGTGCATGTGATTAGCTGTGACCATTCACAGCTAGGCACTAGTATACAATGGATGGCATCATGAATGAAGCCATCCATTGTATACAACTGTCATGTGACCTGCTGTGATTGGTCACAGCAGGTCACATGGTACCAGCAACGGGAGCCGGTACTCGTATTTGTCATCGGTCGTGTCCGCACTGCTGTGCCGCTCTGCATTAGCACAAACGGCGCATGTGCGGGAGCACGCCAAATGGCGTGCACCCGGAATGCAGGGACACATTTGAAGCTGCCAAAAGGCCATTGGCCGGGCGGCTAATGGTTAAATACCACCAAAAGAAAGCTCTATTAGTCTCAAAAAAATGATAAAAATTTCATATGGGTACAGTGTTGCATGACCACGCAATTGTCATTCAAATTGTGACAGCGCTGAAAGCTGGAAATTGGCCTGGACAGGAAGGGGGTATAAGGGCCCTGTAGGCTAGTGGTTAAAAAATCAATAAGCCTTTTAAAACATTCAATTCAGTGACTCAGATGCCACATGGTGCTCTCACCACCTCCAGAACTGCCGGACAGAACGCCATCATGTCACTTCCGGTTACAGATCTGTGTCACTTCCGGTCCCCACGATGACCGTGTGACGGTGCTGCGGACCGGAAGTGGCACAGATCCGTAACCGGAATTGACGTGACGGCGATCTGTCCGGCAGATCCACAGATGGTGAGAGCACCATGCGGCATCTGAGTCACTGAATTGAATTTTTTAAAAGGCTTATTGATTTTTTTAAATTGCTGTAAGTGCAATATTTTTAAAGATGTTTACTTTGGGTAATACACGATTGGAGCGAAATTTTTTCTCTTTCTATGTAATGACGGATTGGAGTATCTACTATGATCCTGGCAACCATCCATGATAAGGGTGATTCTTGGAGGAACCTCTTGATCTCAACATTGGATACTTTTATGATCTGGCTAATTAAAGGATTTGTTCTGGATTATTAATGAAGGCAGAAAATGAAACACATAAATGTTAAGTAGAGTTTAATATATATCACACACGTCATGTGCCGCTATTAATAACTAAAGTAGGGGTGATACTATATCATTTATGTTTTATACTGGAAGATAAGTGGCAGCAATATAATATAATAGAATGGTTTGTTTAGTGGTATCTTGCGCAATTTGGAGACCTTTAAAAAAAATTTCTGATTGGTCACTTACAAGAAAAAAGTGCACCTGTGTTCAGATCAGTTAAAAAAATGTTTATTTACTCTCATGTGCAAAAGGATATGGACTATATTTTATTTATGATGAATGTTTTCTTTATTTCCTAGTATAATATTCACATGTTTATATTTTCCTAGGTTTAGGTAGGCGCTTCTTTACTTCTGTATTTGGCATATTATTTATGTGGTAGCTGCCGATTTATCTTTAATTATTCGTTTTTTTTTTTTTTTTTTTTTTTATTCACTATGACTTGACAATGGGAGAGCTGACATCTCTTGTCCTCAGAGATGGCGGTGCTGACATATGAGTTACGGTAACTTCTCCAGTAATGACGAATTCTTGTGTGTGAAGAATGTCGCCCTCCTGGCCTGACTGGCTTATGTGTGTTAATGGGGAATGGTCTCAGACAGCTCTTCTCTACAAACCACGCCCTACTGATGCGTTTCGCCCCCAGGCACTGAGGCTTAGGTGACACAATAGACAGAGGTTCTTCTGTCAGGCTGGGAGTGCGGCATTCTTCACACACAAGGATTTGGTTTATTTTTATATTTATTATTTGGGCACAGCCCATTCATATTCTATATATGTGGTGTAACATTGAGAATAGGACCTGGACGTATGTGCAAGGAGTGCGGAACAGTACCCGGAGATGTCAGCCTTATTCATCAGTGGATAGAGGAAAGAAGTGAGTACAAATAACTCAAATATCATTTTAAACACCTATATACTCAATTGTTTTTACTAGTGAATAGAATATTTTTTTAGCTTTGACAGATTTCCTTCACATGGAATTTTTACTGTAGAAATATCCCTTTCAGTTTGCTGATGATGGAAATAAACTGCACACAACATCCTCTCCATTTCACCTTCAACGTTTCTATCATTTAGAGGACAGACACACCTTTGTAGTTTACACCCTGGTCACATCGAACCCAACTTTGAAATCGTGCGACTTACAGTGAAGTCGCACAATTTCAAAGTCGGATGACATGCTGATCTGATGTGTGATTTGCAAGACATCTGACACAGATGTTTATGCAAATCGCACCAAAAGTGCACTGCTTTAGAAATCCGACCAAGACCAAGTCGGAACCACACCGATATAACCGCTGTAATTGCGGACAATAGGGTGCGACTTGCCATGCGATTTGCAAGTCGTATGGTATGCAAATCGCATGCCAAGTTGCACCCAGTGTGACCGGAGACTTAACCCAGTGGTCAGTGAAGCCTAGATATGCAGACTACATTTAAATGGGATCTATGGTCACAGCACTCATGGTTATACACTTTTATTTTACAACATCAGCATAACTAACAATAATAACAATCCAACATATGCCTACACATGCCTGCCTCCTGGATTCCCTCAGGGGTGTATTTATCACAAGGCAAACAAGGCATTTGCCTAGGGCTGCATTTTTTAGGGGGGCAGCACTGCCACCTGGATGAAGGTACATATGCAGCATTCGGACCAGGTGGGATCTGAGAGGCTGCGGGCTGCTTGATGGTGTATGCAGAGCCCGGTTGTCATTCCCGGGGATGTCCAGAGCTGTGAAGGTGTGTCTTTCTCTCTTTGGTTGGGTTAGGGTGAGGTGGGTGTTAGTGGAAGGCTCTCTTGGGTGGGAATGGGACAGTAGTGTTGTTGGTCACTGTCAGACTGTCTCTGCGGGGGAGGGGGGGGGGTCTGCTGTTGGTCGTGTCAGGTCAGGGAGGGGGCGTCTGATTTTTTTGTTGCCTAGGGCAGCACAAAACCTAAATACACCACTGGATTCCCTGCATGCTTTGCAAGCTTCTCTGCTCATTTCTTTGATTTAAATTCCGATATCTAAGGACTACATATCCCATGATGCTTCACATCCTTAAAGCATTGATGCCTGCACTGACTCCGCCTCCCGAAACTCCTCCTCTCAGCACTTCTGCAGTTCAGAAGGCAGGCTCTGTGAAATGTGTATAGTGAAAAGTATACCTTATGGCGCCGCTCCTAGCTATGGATGGAAGGAAAAGAACCACCCCACCGGCAAGTGAAAAGAGGGGAGCATGAGTCCGAGCGATTCCAATGTCAGCCAATGCAAGTGAAGGGATGGACACTGCTCAACCGACCCCAGGAGTCCAATGTTATGGAATGGCCTCAGCCGCCATACTGGCCACAACCACTGATGCTGTCAGGGCTCCAGGTATGACCAGAGATGTGTGGACTGACACAGGGAAATGCAGGCTTCAAGTATGGTGTAAAACAATATAATTTATTAAAAGCTACACAGTACACCCAAACACACAGTGCAAGAACCAAACCTCCAACAGATCCCAGTATGTGCGGGAACACAAATGTAGTCAGGAGCAGGCAGGAGAGCCGGGGTCGGTAACTATCGGGCAGACAAGGTACAAAGGAGCAGACAGGAGACCGTGGTCAGGAATAGTGGGGTTCATGGGAACACCAAGGCACTGACTGCAGGCCTGGCCATTGCTTAAATACACCTCCCTGCAATCAGCCTCAGGTGATGGCTTGATTGCAGGAGTGAGATTCTGGCTGCTGAGAGCACCCACATCCCCTGGCCCCTAGCACTGGTACTGCAGCCCACAAGGCAGGTGAGCCCCAGCACCACCTGTGCTGACTCGTTCCTGACAGATGCATTTGCCCCACCCGGGGGCGAAA